ACTTAAAGGGAGTGTTCGCGAAAAATGAAATGGGGTATAGGCATAATGCGATAAAAAAGCGCTTTTGATCGCTACTAATCTTACTTCTATTTCTTGCGTCTATAAGGAGAAAATTGTTAAAAACTACTCATGCTGAAGAACGCAGCCTCCATACAAATTCAAAATTGCAAGTTTAAGGGAGGTGTAATTTCAGATGATCCCTTTTGCAAATATACAAGATCACAACACGGTGACTTTGAAACCTTTATCTGATCAATGATGTTGAAGATATTGTCATTTTTCTAATTTTTTAAGTGTTAACTTATATAATTCCTATATTTATTCATACATTAAAAATGCGCAATTTCCTTTTGTAGAAAATCCAGAATTTTGAATAACAAGTTTTCCAAAAATATAACCATATTAAGTCAGGGTTGTCATAAAAAACAATTAAACCCATTTGTAAGTGGGCTTTTTAAAAAAAATATAATTACTGTATTTTTCTCACTCTTGTAATGATAAAGTCTTCTAGAAATAAGGTCTACTATCAACAGTGTTGATTTTTAGGAGTTCATAGCACTAAAATAATGATCTTAACAAATTGAATATTGTTCGAAAATTGAGTTATTTTTAAAAAATATCGAATTTATAAAAGTAGTCAAACATGTCACTCTAGACTTCAAGATAGTGTCTGGTTTTAGACCAAATAAATCCAACAGTGAGAATATCTACCGATTAATCTGAGAATGTGAATGTGAATGTGAATGTGGATGTTGATGTTGATGTTGATGTTGATGTTGATGTTGATGTTGATGTCCAGGAGGCCCTGCCTGATGAGGACAAGGAGACCGAGGATGCAGAGAATGAGGAAGATCTCGACCTCGAATCCTTCGGAGATAAGAAGAAGAAAAAGAAGAAGAAGAAGCCAAAGGATTTGGATGAGTTGATTGGTGACGAGGATGACAAGGAGAATGATGGTAAATAATAATAACATTAATTATATAATACAGTCGTCGTCGTCGTATATATCTAAACAACAAAGACGACTCGATTTCAATTTTTGAGATCTAAAAAGCTTTCAAACATCATGGATACACACAAACATGAAAACAAAAATAAATTGTCAATTAACATCTTCTCTTTTTTACTTGTTAAGTTGTTAACTTGTAATTTGATTTAAATTGATATAAATGCCGACCACTGTAATAATATAATAATAATCATAATGAAAATACGTGATATATGATATATACTTGTGTATTGTTTTATAGTGTAACCCATGGGGTATATTTAGTGTACTTGTATACAAACGTCGGACCCATAAACATCGGACAATACAAACCTAAGACTTACAAACGTCGGGCAGTACAAACGTCGGACAAGTACAAACGTCGGACTATTACAAACATCGGATCAGTACGAACGTCAGACCAGTGCAAACGTAAAACAAGTACAAACGTCGGACCAGTACAAAGTTAAAAAGTTATTTCCTTTTATCGAATGGTCTAATAAAAATCTACCTTAATAAACTGAGTTCTTGCCACTAACTCAAATATTCTCATCCCTATATCTTTGCAACCCAATGGTATAACCTGTGATACTTTCATTCTTAAAGATTTCATAGATTTAAATATCAATGGTTGCAAAGATATAGGCAACAAAACATAAGAGTTTGTGACAATAACTCAACTCATTTTTGTTCTGTTGTTTATGAACAGCTACTTTCAATGGATGAGTGATTTTTAATTTATCTAGGTTAAAACCAAAAAGGCCAACTAGGCGTTATATAACGAGGTTGGTGGTTATATAACTCACATCGAACTACCTGAGTAGTTCGTTGAACAAGTCACTTCTTTTTCGAATAAATTAAATCTTTATTTGGGAGAATTTTTGCGAGTCACCCTAATTGTATCTTATGTCTTATGTCTTATTTCTTATACCATGAATTTTTTTTTTAACTTAACCAAAGTCCGACGTTTTTTCTTAAAAATGTACCCAACCGACGTTTGTACCAGTCCAATGTTTGTAAGTCCGACGTTTGTACTGGTACCATATTTAGTATATGTATTTCCGTGATGAAGGATGGGTTTCCTAAGAGAGGGATTTTTCAGATCTTTTCCTGTAAACTTTGATAATATTATTTATATAATTTATATCTATATAATAAAGCTCTTCGCTAATATATATATGTCTATATGTCGGCTATGGCTGGCCAAAAGGCTGGACCAAATTGGCTGAATTTTGTTGAGGTAACCCAGGGGTACCCTGGGGGTAACATTGGAAAAAAGGATTTTTTTTCAAGATGGATATTGAAGAAAAAAATTTCACCGGAAACGCTTGACACTTTAGCTAGTTAACACATTATGTACTATTTAGTTAGTTTCACAATTGTAATGTACACCTAAGACTAATTCATGTCCATTTGGTACCCGTTCATCGGACCTAGAGGAAACTGATCCTAAGTGTTGTCAGACCTAAGGTTTTTTCAACCTGAAATTGTAGAAGATCATTAGACTAAGTTAAGCTGGAGACACAATTTCGATCCTTAAAAACGTGTGAGAAAACTACTCAATATTTCGGTTCGACACCCAGTTGATTGGTTTTCTCTATGTCAGTTTCTATACCATCTTCCATTCCTGTACATAATAGTAAAGTACATAAACTCTATATAATTATATTTCTCACGCCTAGTACTGGCCGCCCCTAGTCCATGTAATGGCAAGGGCAGGCCTGAGGATTTAGGTAAGAAAGAAAATATTTTTAAAAATCCAAATTTTATGGATTTGATTTTTCCCGCCTCAATAATCAAGGTGGCAAGCTTTAACGGAATTACCAATCTAATTGTCGGATTCTAAAATTCTAGCAACTCTTAATGAAAAAAGAAACTAGAAATCGGTTAGGTGGTTTATATATCCCAGCTCTATGCCATGTCTTCTGTTTTGTTTAATTTAGAAGAAATGCGTTGATAAAAAATTTTATGAATTAAGCCACTTAACGAAATTGCAAGTTGGTTAAATTTAGTGACAGAAAAGTTATATTTTTAATATTTGAATGCATGCATCTTATTTAAATATTGAGTTTGATCGTGCCATGTTGCTTTATTTTAAGATTAATTTATTTTATGTTATTTTACCACTGCAATCTAACTAGTTTTGACAATCGTACTTTTTGAAAACTCCATAAAACTTCCAATATTTCAAAATTGTTCATTATTGGATTGTTTTTGGTCTATTTTGCCCTCATTTATTGTAAGAAAATGTAAGGGAAAAAACCAATTTTAAAAACGATTGCTTTTCTTATACACTACACCTAATTTGGACCCGGAGAGAAAATATAGGCAAAAACGAACCAACTAAATGCACATCACTAAACGCAACTAGATCGGGGGGGGNTTGAATTATTTTTTTTTTTATTTGTTAAAGTAATCTTAACAAGCGATGATTTACCATTTATCATTATTACTTTTAAGACATACATTGTATTTATGTGTTCTCTGAACAAACATGAGATAATACTTATATTGCTACATATATAACAATCCACTATTTGTTCACGGAAATATGTTTTTTATCCTATTTATTTTTACGGAAATAACTAGATTTCTTACAAAGTGAAAGAAAAATACACACAGCATGAACCGCATCTTGTCTGTATTGTCAAATAGAGAAAAATTGTTAAAAAATATGACGTTGGATGGCTTTACCTAAAAATACATAAAAACAAGCATCTACTTGACAATTTATTTAGTTTAAGAACTGTTTGCGTAATTTTAATAGAACCTCGAAATTTTTTTAAACATTTTTGTTAGAACCATTTTTTTCACGGACAACGCCGAGCTCTTCAGCTAGTTATCTTATATTACAGAAACACTTTTAGATTGAACACGGGATTTGCAAGCTCAATAAAATATTGATAATTATTTGATTGAAGTCGCAGAAAATAAATCTTGACATTCGAATTTTTTTAACCGCTCTCGACATACGAGGGTACATGCAAGGTCAGCTGGGTTGAGTTCACAATGGACGCTAGCGCACACTCTCGTTGAAGGCAATTCGAACCCTATTAGAGAGATAAACACACTTAGTTTTCTGGTTTCGAAGATCATTGATCAGTCAAATGTTTCACGGGTACCGCTGTAAATCGGACATGGCCTTCTTTGCATGGAGGTTGACTTGAAATTACGATTACAGTTCCGTTGATTTTTTGGTTATTTAACCGCTAAATATTCTGCACTTAATTGCTTATTGTTATTTTATGGACACCTTTGATCAGTTTTGCATGATGCTACTTTTTATTTATCAATTTGTTTAAAGTTTGTTTTGTCTAAAAGAACGTCTTAATTTAGAGTCGAACGCCTGGGTGGACTCCGACAGAGACTACACATACGAGGAGCTCCTGCAGCGTGTGTTCGGAATCATGAGAGACAAGAACCCCGAAATGGTGGCCGGGGAGAAGAAGAAGTTTGTCATGAGACCTCCCCAGGTTAGCAAATTTATCTTTATACTCTTATAAACAACCAAACTTTAACATATACTTTTTAAAGGGAATTGAAAATTCACCCCAAATCTAATCTGCATTTTGATGGTGTAATTTTTTTTATTGATCTGGCAGAATTCATAATTTTGAATATCAAAGGTATACTACATCAGGCTGCAAAGATTTAGAAATATTAAAATTTTAGTATGTGGAGAGCAATCAGGCCTTTTTTTCGCGTTTCTCTCGCAATAAAAGTATTTGCTTGAAAAAACCTCTCCTTTCATTCTAACTGTGTAGTCAAGATCTAGTCGAAAATCGAAACTAAAAATGGTTTTTAAGAAGATGAAAAACGTTTACTTGATTATTGTTTTTAATCCAATGGTATTCCCCTTATTTTGTGCAATACTTAATTATTATTCAATTTATTATTGCAATTTATTAATATTGATAACACAAATTATTTTTACCCAGGTTGTGAGGGTTGGTACCAAGAAAACTGCTTTTGCTAACTTCACTGAGATTGCTAAGATGTTGCACAGAACCCCGAAACATTTGCTCGCGTTCCTGTTTGCCGAGCTGGGAACTAGCGGGGCTATCGACGGTAGTAACCAGCTGATAATGAAGGGTAGATTCCAGCAGAAGCATATTGAAAATGTTCTTCGAAGGTAGGTTTCTACCCTGGGTTGTAACTTTGATGAATTTCTATGATTTTGGAAAAAAATGAAAGTGGCCAACATTTGACATGCTTTTTTAGCCTTTTTTGATACCAAAAACAGATTTAATTTTCCCAAGTATTATTTCTATTCCTCAATTTTGCGGTGTAAATAAAGCTCTGTAAAAAAGATTTCTTCTTGCTAACATACAACATCTGGAGACAAATATTATGTTTCTAGAGAGCGGTTGGGAAAAATTATAGTTCGACATCATAGTTTGCCCATTTGTTTCACCGTTCAGATAAATTTTATAGTGTATTTGAAATCCTAATGCATTTTTCAAGGATTTAGTCAATGAGTCTTGATGAAGGATATTTAAATATCTGACGTGACAGCATTATTTGATTGTTATGATACCGTACAGTGATACCCACAAATGATGACGTCCTATAACTCCAAGATTAAGGTTGAACTATATTATCTGACAAATACTAGAACTAATGGGTGCAGAGCAGGGTTCCAGAAAAAGTTGTAAAAATTACCACAATCGTCTTTGAAGTCTCATTCTTTATGGGTAACCCTGTACTGAATGTACTGTGAACAGTGTACACGTCCCTAAACTCAGTGTGTCCCAGTTAACTTTATATTTACTATTTTTTCTCTTATAGTTTGCAGTTGCACAGCTTCGTGTTTTAAGCATTTTCGTCTTGGAATTGATCCGGAAAAGATTAGAAACCTAGAGTCCGAATTTAATGAATTTGAGCCGCGTCTAAAATCCGCCAAAACCGGTTTCAACTGAGCGCCGGCACAATTTTAAATGGAACCAACCATATTTGAGCCGCAGCTCAAATTCTTTGAATTCGGCCTCTGATTCTCCATTTTTAACTTGTCGATTTTGCAACTGTTGATTTGATAATATTATGTTGTTAGATACATCAAGGAGTATGTGACCTGTCACACCTGTAGGAGCCCTGATACAATCCTTAACAAGGAAACTAGACTCTTCTTCCTCCAGTGCATGACCTGTCACTCATCCTGCTCCGTGCAAACCATCAAAACCGGTTTCCAGGCCGTCACTGGCAAGCGGTCAGCCATCAGGGCTAAACAGTGATACAGGTTTATTTTTTATTTATAATACTTTTTACGATAACTGCCCTGGATTTGCGATTATTACCAACGAATGGCCATAAAAAGTGGTCTTTTTATGGAACTAAACATAGAATTATAATATAGCTTTCTATTGTCATAAAGTTGGTATTTAAGCTAAATAACTTACTTTAAAAGTCGTCAACCAATTTCACTTAATTTTGGTGACCGCTGTACTTAATGATAAAAATATTGAATTTAACAATTTGAATTCCTGATTATTCCAGGATTGATCTTTGAAAAATTTAATTTAAGTTTAAAATTGTGTTTTCAGAGGGTTGCGAGGAAAATATTTTGTCGGATCACTGGCTGGAGCTGAGAAAAATGTGTTTCGTCAAATTCTTTTCAAAAATACAGTTTTAATTAAATTCCATATCTTTTGATCATGTATTCAGTTATGTGAATGATTTTATTGTCAATAGCTTGGCTGTGTTCACTACTTGGCAGAGTTTCTGTTCATTGTTTTCATAACAAAAAGGTTAGAATATTCTTTATTTTGCAGGAACGGTTACCGGCCATGAAAAATGTTGACTTTTTGGTCGGTTGAAGTACTTCATGAACAGATTCTATGAATAGTGAGACCCGGGACATAGTTGAACCGAATAGAAGTATTTAAACCACTTCTTTTCGGCTTGACCCGAACGCAAAAGAGAAGTGGTCCAATTCAGTTCAGTTCGGGTTCAAGAGAAGTGGTCAAACGCTGTCTCACTATTTATGAAAAAAAATCTTTATCTGATCAACATTTTTTATTTTTATTTATTTTTGCTACAAAAAAAATATTACAATTATAAATACATCTTAAGTTTTATCTAACATGGAGGAGGTATAAAGTTTGAAGGAGGTTGGGGAGAAATACTCACAACTAGCATCACTTTAGGTTAACACATTAGGCTGAATCAAGGAAACAAAATAAACTTCTTATTGACAGGATTTACAATAAGATTTATCACACTCGAATGAACTATATTTGATCAGTGTGCTACATTTATATTTATGTTTGAAGACTTTCAATGTAAGATATCTATCTTCAGGTTATATACCATTCCATATTTTTGGTAAACTCGCTGATGAATAGAAATCTAAGTATTGCGATCTAGTTTTCTCATTTACTAATCCTGAAGTTCTATATAGTTCACAATTAGTCTTGTAAACACTGAGGAAAAGATCGGTGGTAATTTATTGTAATAAAATGGGTGAACATTAAAAAAAACATTTTCCTTTCAAACTGCTCGACCGTATAGCTGTTCAGTCCTACAGAGCGCCCATTTGGATTAAGCATTACGTGCAATTCAGAATAGCTGACAAATGTAATTTTTACGATTTCCATATTTAGGATTGAGACTTAATTTCATGTGACCTTCCGACTCCTCGCAGCATTTGAACACTAATCTGATTAAAAACAATTAAGATATTTTGTTTTATGTTTAAAAAAAGTATTGAAATTCTGACAATTATCTTTTTTCTTACATAATACACAAATCCGCAAGTAACTTTAAATTGAAATTAATAAATTTAAAGATTTAAAAAGAGGTTAACACTTTGATTAGACGAAGGGTCACATTAGGTCTACAGCTTTTGTTAAACACTGCTACAGATTGACCCACTAGGTCAACCTTGTGTGACTTAAAAATATTTTTCCCATTGCTTATATAATGTTATAGGGAGACAGAATCCGATTTCACACAGCTCTGAACACACAAGGAGGACCATATGCCCGCAAAAATGCTACGACTTTTGAAATGGTCGAAATCATTGTTGGGTTAAAAAGTTTACTTCGATGTCCCCCTATAACATGCTAAAACTCAATTCAGTTTTTGTGAAATACTTGAATAATGAAACACAACAAAGTACAAATTTAAGTATTGTCATTGTCATTGACGCCAGTTTTAAAGAAAACGATGCATTCTACCGTTCTAATCACCGCACACAGTCATACACACACTCAAACACACACCTTATATTTCCTGTCGAGAATACCTTCCAAACATAAACCAACCTGTTATACAACGGTGTAGCTATCCAGTTACCTATTCCTTTAGTTAAGAGAAGTTCTAGGACCGAGTTAAATAGATTTAAACCACGTGACTGAAGTGCCCACTGCTGGTTCAAATTTGAACCAACGATTCAAAGTTAAAGATTAAGGAATGATTCAAATTTGAACCGCTCCTATCCCAGATTACGGTATTAGAATTCTTAAAAATGGATTAATAAATTACATAATTGAGACGTCACATTAGAATCAGGAAGTGTAAATAATAAAAGATCAATATTCACAAAAATTTAGAAACAATGCAATTTAATTTAACAAGTAACTGTTATGTAGGACATCTGAAGCCAAGGTTTATAAGGAGTCGAAAAAAAATATTAACCACAAAATTTCTGTTTCAAAAGTTTTGAAAATTTACGTATACGAATACATCTTTTAAGATTTCGTTCTGTGATATGCAAAGTACAAATGGTTGCATGAAATAAAAATAGTTTTACTAGAACAAGGGGCCGGGTGCGAAATAAGGTTTATATTTTGATATTTTTCATTAGTTTTCTTAAGAGTTCAAGAGAATTCTTTTCTTTAATCCATGTAAAGAAAAAAAATGTATTTTTTTTACTTTTGTCCTTAACATATTTGCTTTAAATTAAATATTTCCTGATTTGATGTGTATCAAATATTTTGATCAAATTTTTGATATTTGTTTTATTTTATCCTCAATTATTTTTATATTAGATGGAAGATGAGGAGGAGGAGAAGGAGAAGAAAGTTACATTCATAGAAGATGACGAGAATGTGGAAGATATTGATCTGGAAACATTCGGAAAGAAGAAAAAGAAGAAGAAGAAGAGAGAAGGAATGGATATGGAGGATTTAAAGGTAAGCTACTTATTTATTTCAAGGGGAAGTGGCCGCTAATCCAGGATTTAAATATTTGAATACTTTTTGTATTGCAAGGCATCCAGGGTTTTCTCGTCTCACTTTCAAGTAACAATTAATATTCTTGTTCAACATCATTTTAGTTTTAACATTTTTATTTTGTTATGTATCTTTTTCTTGTTTTAAATGATCTTGTTAATAATCTTCCTTATTCAACAAAGTATTGTTGATGTTGATGTTGATGTTGATGTTGACGTTGACGTTGACGTTGACGTTGACGTTGACGTTGACGTTGACGTTGACGTTGACGTTGATGTTGATGTTGATGTTGATGTTGATGTTGATGTTGATGTTGATGTTGATGTTGATGTTGATGTTGATGTTGATGTTGATGTTGATGTTGATGTTGATGTTGATGTTGATGTTGATGTTGATGTTGATGTTGATGTTGATGTTGATGTTGATGTTGATGTTGATGTTGATGTTGATGTTGATGTTGATGTTGATGTNCCTGCTTTGCAAGGAGGGTCACTTGAAATTATGCTTAAAGCCCCTTAAAATATTTTGTTTAATAGTATTTTAAGATCCAAGAAATTATAATGTGCCATTTAAAATCACACAATTAGAAATAGCAACGTCTATCACAAACTGCAAGACCACAAATCTGCCTGAATCTTAGCAGTTTCATCGTGGAACTGTGGTTAGTGTGATTTGATTGAATAGGATAAAATTCCCCAATTTATTACATTGTACAATGTAGTGGTGGATATCCTGATATATATTTCTAATATTTACTCACAGCTTGTTGCTAATTTAATCAATGAAGCTGTATTCCTATGTATTCTAACTAATTAGTTCCTCGGCAATTAACAAATCTTGGGACTTAATTCACGCATATCAGAGGCTTCCCTTCCCCTCCCCCTGTATCAGTAAAATCATTGGTTTCCTGGAGTTTTTCAGGTACCAATGGGTCTATGTATAACAAGGTTACAATGTAAACTACAACTGTACATATATAGTAAGGTTACAATTTATACCAGAACTGTATATGTATAACAAGTTACAATTTATACTAGAACTGTATGTGTATACTTAGGTTACAATGTATACTAGAACTATATGTAAAAGGTTACAATGTATTCTAGAACGTACATATATACTAAGGTTGCAATGTATACTAGAAATGTTTATGTATACTTGAACTGTATATGTATATACTAAGGTTACAATGTATACTAGAACTGTTTATGTATACTACAGTTACAATGTATACTAGAACTGTATCTGTATACTAAGGTTACAATTTATACTAGAATGCATGTTTACAATTACTAAGGTTACAATGTATACTAGAACTGTATATGTATACTAAGGTTACAATGTATACTAGAACTGTATATGTAATTATACTAGAACTATATGTATAGTAAGGTTACAATGTATACTAGAATGCATGTTTACAATTACTAAGGTTACAATGTATACTAGAAATGTATATGTATACTAAGGTTACAATGTATACTAGAACTGTATATGTATACTAAGGTTACAATGTATACTAGAACTGTATATGTATACTAAGGTTAATGATTTGATTTGATTTGATTTGATTTGATTTGATTTGATTTGATTTGATTTGATTTGATTTGATTTGATTTGATTTGCAAGGAGGGTCACTTGAAATTATGCTTAAAGCCCCTTAAAATATTTTGTTTAATAGTATTTTAATTTTCATGTATTGTATAGTTAATTGATCTTTCAATCCCGGATTACTTTTTTCTTTGTATACTTGAAATTACTGGAGAATTTAAAAACTTTGTTTGAAATATAATTTAAACTTTTTGCATCACATATATTTCTCTCCGTTATTTTAGAAAGTTTTTATTAGAAAGTCTATGTTCATATTCTTATCTCTGATTTATATTTTAGGTTTACTCGGAGGAACGCTGAGCAGAGTCCAGAAATTATTAGGCCAAGGAAGAACCAATAGACAGGAATTTTCTCAACTATGCTAAATATAACTATCCTATAATAAAGTAAAGATTGAATTATTCTTTATTAATTTATTTTCTCCTTAGAACTATTCGTTCTTTTACGGCTACAATGAGAACTAATGGCCCAAAAGATGTTCGTAATTAAAAATCTTTCTCTAATTTGTTTATGAATATTGCATAATTGAGAATGATTGTAGATAATGTGCTACACCATTTTGGTGATCATCTTTACTTTCATCATCTTAACATACATCATCTCTAGCAGTAGATCATAGATCATCTTCAAAGATCTCTAGCAGTAGATCAAAGATCATCTACATCCTACTATCTACAGTGAAAATACTGGATCCTGTTGTAGAATATATACCCTCTACAGAATGTTCTCAGGATAAATTTTTATTATTTTTATAGTTATGGATGTACTTATTATTAGCTAAAGTGTCCATAAAACAAAAATTTTCATGGCCCTACAATACAAGACAAATCCAAGAAAATTGATCAAATCATGAATGTTACAACATCTTGTCATCCTAAATATTTTACATCATTCATTTAACCTTGAATCTTAAAGATAATTCCTTTATAAATCCTTTAATATTGTGTTAAATTTAGAATTTAGAATTATTTATTTCTCCAACTGTGATATTTATGAATCTTTGCAGAGAAAATGACGGAGGATGATCCAACCTTTGATCTGAACTTGAAGAAGAAGAAGAAAAAGAAGAAGGCTCCCTTTGATCTTGATGCTGCTATGGATGGAGCAGGAGGAGAGGGAGCAGAGGAGGAAAGGGTAAGCAAATTTATTTCTTTGAAGGGTCTAGGGTTTGTTACACAGGAATATATATATGTTTTTAACCAAGCCCCTATTCAAATAGTATTTTGTTTTGGTTAATTATCAATGCTTGCACATTTTAAAGATGTTTTCACTATATTTGGGAAAATAACAGATTTTTCGGGTACAAAGTGTTAAAAAAGGGGCGGCTTAATATTTAGTAGATTCCTTTATTGGATTCCTGAAAAAAATTAGTTAACATTAACATTTTGCCATTGCCAACTCTAATTTTGTCAGTTAAGTTTAAAGAATTAACGATTTTTAGATCAGACAAAAGCTAAATTTCTCATTATTTTCAAGCTCGATCTTTATTCCGTCCAACCGTTGAAGATATATCATTGGCACCTGAATAGATAGACATAATTTTCTGGTTTCTTTTCATCAATTCTATTGTTATGTTTTTAATAAAAACTAAATTGCTTCGAGTACTTCTTTCTAAGGAACACTCTCTTCTCCGTCTTAGAACTTGAGAAGGTTAATTAAATACTTACGATAGTTTCTCTCAGCTAGAAATTATTTTAATTCCTTAAAGGGAGTGTTCGCGAAAAATGAAATGGGGTATAGGCATAATGCGATAAAAAAGCGCTTTTGATCGCTACTAATCTTACTTCTATTTCTTGCGTCTATAAGGAGAAAATTGTTAAAAACGACTAATACCGAAGAACGCAGCCTCCATACAAATTCGGAAAGATGCAATATTCAACTTGGATCGTAAACAAATCAATTTAATTCCAAACAAATCACTCAGATAATACAAACAGTAGTCATCGATTATTTTTCGACGCATTCGCATAAAGTTAATATTTCATAATGTTTTTGATTTTGTTTTTTTTTAATTATTTTCGCTGGCGTTGGATTTTCGATCATTCCTGGAAAATATGAAAATGTCGTCTTCATTATCAAAAATCCTCGAAACAGGAATAAATGTTTTCAAAAGTAACTCTCAGTTCATGAAAAATACAAAATATTATGAAATATCAACTATTTACGAATGCGTCGAAAATTAATCGATGACTATTGTTTGTAATATCTGAATGATTTGTTTGGAATTTAATTGACTTGTTTACGATCCGAGTTGAATGTTGCATCTTTCTGAATTTGTATGGACACTACGTTCTTTAGTATTAGTTGTTTTTAACAATTTTCTCCTTATAGACGCAACAAATAGAAGTAAGATTAGTAGCGATCAAAAGCGCTTTTTTATCGCATTAAGCCTATACCCCCTTTTATTTTCCGCGAACACTCCCTTTAATTTGATCTCCTTATCTTTTTATCAAGGCTCATTTTTCTTGCATTTCAAATAAATTAAGAAAACTGAAATATGAAAAATTATGATTATGAGATAAAATTATGATTAAAAATAAATAGTGAGTCTTAATGAAAAAAATTTAAAGAAAGCATTAGACTAATCCGGATCCTTTTGATCGGTTTCCTGTTCATGTGTATCCGATGATTCTGTGATTTGAAATTGAGTGTGAATTTAACTTGACATGTTAACATGAACATATCCCCGATGGTGATCTGGGCTCTCAAAAAGATGTTTTCAGATCCTTCCCTTAGCTTATCGATGCTCATAATGTGCACATCTTAAAAATATTATGCCCAGAACTGTTACAAAAATTGTTGTTCTAAATTTCTGTTGGATTAAAAAAAAATATAAGGGTAATTTGGAGGATACGAATTTTACCTCTTTGAGTTTTTATGGTTTGGCCGCCGGCCGGCTTTGATTTGATAGGTTTCACAGACACACGCATGTTTTTACTTACACTCCGATTTCTTCGTACTAGGCATTTTAAAATCACTTTAAATTCAATTTCAAGGTAAGTTGAAAAGTTAAGACTAACAGCTCGGAAATTTTAACCCCCCCTCCCCCCCCCCGGCCCGCCCCCCCCCCCCCCCCCCCCCCCCCCTCCATATTAAAAATACTTAAAAATCTCACTTCATTAAAAAAGTTTTAATCAACACTGCCTTCAGTGTATATATATATTTGATATTTACACAGCTAAAAAAAGGTATCAATATTTTCTTTAAAAAGGGTTTTTAAGGGGGGCACAATGTTGCCAAAGAGGGGATGTTCCCCCTACACAAATGATCTCGTACGCCCCTGTACCGTTCTTGTCATTTGATAAAAATAGAAAGAAAAACCTCTAATTATCTTTTCCAAAACTTCCATTGTTTACCCTTCAGAGGCAGCGGGTCCCCTCCCCCGCTAAAAAGAATCAAAATTTTAGAAGAAAAGGATTTTTCTTTCCCCACATGACAAAATCCTAGAATAGTTTGTCTGTGCAGTTTAACAACCCAAAAATTGTTTATTTTTTCATCAAAATCTACACAATGGAGTAGATTCTGGCACCCAAACATTTTCCTCCATACTAAAAAAGGTTGACAGCAGATTCCTCTTGAGAACAGAACTCTGGTTCTTCTTTAGATAGCAATAGGTTCATCTGGGGCTAGAACCTCATATATTTTTAAACAGGGTGTCGCACTAAACATGAGAGTTGGTTAATAGTTTAAAATGTCTTCTATAATTTGTTAAGTTGTTTGATGCCAAAAAGAATAATATAAAATATGGCAGTCCTAATATGATATAATTGATTTCAACTGCAAAAAGTCCATCTAATACAGCATATAGAAGAAGTCATTTAAAACTGTTCATCAACTGCCATGTTTCGTGGGACACCCTGTATACAGGATCCTTTAAATAAAACTTCTTCAGTTCACCAACTGAAACCTGACGAGTCTACAATTATCGTGAACCTGAACCTGACCTGTCAAAAGCTAAACATGAGACGCAAAAAATTAGTCGTCAAGAATTATTTGCTGGATTATTGAAAGAAATGGCTGAGAAATCTAAAATTGGACCTAAAAAGCCAGAAATAAATCCTGAAGAATTTATAGCTCTAATAAAAAATTAGAATGATATTAATTTTAATCCTTTTCTTCAAAGTTTTATTCCAATTAATATTTTTCTTCTTTCCATTTTCCAACAGTGAGCATAACTCACGGGGGAGGCACTTTGTCTCCACTCTCCCCAATGTGTCTGGTGTTTGTATAAAATGCCTTCTTTTTGAGCGACAATTTTATGTTTTTTTAAAAAGAAAATGGTATTGAAGGTTTTAAAAGCTAGTTTTTGTACATTTTCTTTACACTTTTCAGATGATTAAATGCCTTTTTTTCGAAATTAAAAAATGTAAATACTTTCAAACTAGAGGTTTTTGCAGTAGTGAGATTTGAAATTCCAAAATGAGAATATAATATCTACAGCACGATTA